GGCAATTCGCGCATGGGCGGCTGTGAGTGCAAAATTCTATGTAAATTTCATCAGTGCTTCTGAACACTCGCTTTGCACTACCAAATTTTTCTTTAGCGTTGCCTTCGCTTAGTAAGCATTTCTTGCGCTTCTGTTTAGAGATTGCTTGCGCCGATGTGGGTTTGGCCCTAGCAGGACTGTCCCGTCGCGCGAGCCATGCGCAGTGTTTGTTCTGTAGAGTTGTTGGTGCGTATTCTTCATGCAGTGCATTTTTTTCTGTTTCTTCCGCTCAGGCAGCCGAGTGGAGTTGCGTATCTATCACTGTCCCCTTGCGCTTTGCATTGCTGTTCGCAGTGTTAACCGAATATCACCTTTTTTTCTAATTTTTCTTACAGTGTTGGCCGAATGCTACCCTTTTTTCTAACTTACTCTATAGGATAGCTGTCCAGCCGCAGTCTGTGACCTTTGAGTATGCGCAGTGCGACCGGCGATTAGACGTGCCACCAGGTAGTCGCATGTTTGAAGGCGGAAGGATATGCCGTCAGTTGCAGTGGATGTTGGTGCGTCTCCATTGCCATCTGCTGCGGCTGCTGCTTGTGTTGTCTGTCTGTACGCCCGCGCTGCTGCTGCACCTCGCTCGCGCCTTCGTTCCTACGGCGGGTCGTTTGCCCCTAATACCTCCGCAGCCATTTCAAAGGGGAAGGTCCTTCTGCAGCAGCAGCAGCAACAGCAGTAGTAGCACCAGCAGCAGCAGCAACAACACCTCAATCGAGAGCTCCTTTCCCCTACGCCCCTGCAGCAGCAGCAGCACCCCAATCGGGATCTCCTTCCCCCTCAGCAACTGCAGCTCGGTGAATATCGTCTTGCTTCTGCCCAGCGACCAGCAGCAGCAACAACAACAGGAAGGGCAGCAACGGCGGTCGCAACACTTTTGAGGGGCCCTCTGTTGCGTCTTTGTCTGCGTTCTCTTCTTGCTGGGGGTCGCACACCTTCCAGTGCCTCCTGCTGCTGCTCCTACACCTGTAGATGTTGCTGCTTCTTAGGAGAGATGGAGAGGCCTCCATAGCAGCACCAGGTCCAGACATTGGGGCCTCGTCAACAGCACAACAAGACTAAGATCATCAAGGGCGACTCCCAATAACGCACTGCAGCCTTAGGAGTCCCCATACCCTTTGGGGGCTCTCCAATGCCGCAGGGGCCCCCCACAGCCACAGACGGCCACCAAAGGCATTAGAGGCCCCGTAGGGCACGTAGAGGGCCCC